TTGCTGTCTTCTGTACAGCTATAGAGTTTGTGTAGCAACTTTACAGATGACATTATAGAAAGTACTTAAACTTTTCCAAACTTAATATGCATTATTCATTCAGATAAAACTAAATAAAAAGAGTTGACAGAACTTTAAACATGTGTTCTTTAAAATCGTCTAAGAATAAAATAGGTTCCCTTTAACCCTTCTTAAAAATCAGACATTCTGCACCAAAGGAAACATCTGTGCCCTTTCAGCAGCAGCTCCACGAACCTCTTTCATCTGGGCAGAATGATGCACTACAAGGAGGCCTTGAACCTGGACTGAATGACAGCGTGTTTGGCTAATGCATCATTCCCACAAACTGAAACAATAAATCAAATCTCTTAAGAAGTTTTGATCTCCATATAAAATAAAGTAAGAGTGTTGAAATTTACAAAAGTAATAGAATAATTTCTCTCTCTTACATTCACCTTTATGTTTCTAAATTTACGACAGCTATAAAAATCCCTTTATTTCATATATTGAGTCATGGTATGCATGACTCAAACAGAGTGCATGCATTTCCACAAATATATTTCTAATAAAAGCACAAAATAAAATCCAGAAACTGATCAAAGAAGTGGTTTCTTTCATTCTCTTCAGAGTTTGAATTTTTAGTACCTTTTATTTTGAGAAATGCATAGGTTTGAGTAACTGCTAAACGTGGCTGGATATGTGAACTTTTAAAAATATTAGGATTGTATAAATTTATAAGGCTTTGTACTCAATGGTCTTTGATCCCAACATTCTATGCTTATGATGAAATAACTGAAAACTATATACACCTGTTGGATCACAAGGATCTTTCTTCTAGCAAATTTACCCTTTCCATGGTATTCCAAGCTACCTCTCAGACTGGACTAAAAAGGAGAGTAAAATCCAAACCTCTGACATATCAGCAAGAATAAAGTTCTGATGCCCCCACTATAGTGCTCTGAATTGCAGCTTCCCTTCTCCAAAGATTTAGATGCTTTCTCCCTATCAGTTACTATGCCGACAAATGTATATTTCATTCCTAGTAGAAAGTATAATTCCTATTTTTTCTTAAAGTAAATGTCTAAAAATGATAAATATGTGAGAATATTTTAAAAACAAAGTGTCAAAATTAGAATATTTAGCCCCAGACTATGACTAAAAGTTGGTAAAAATACCAAAAATATTTCAGTCATAAAATATTGTTTACATTCTAAAATGATATATCAATACAATGGTATAACTAAGACCAAATTTCTGGGTTTATTTCTATGAGTTTATACTGATATATCGATAAATCTGACCCGACTTTAAACAATCATATACCTAACCAAAGTCCATCACTTACATTAGATAAATAGCATCTGTTACCTTTATGCCATAATTTATCTTTTAGGTGCATGCTTTACCTCTTCACCCAGATTATAACATCCTCTTGCACATGCTTTCTTATGTACACTCTTAGGTATTCTGAAGCCCTGATGTTGAGATTACTGCAGCTCTCAGCAAGAGATTTGCTGAGTTTTAAATTATATGACTCTGTGGGTCAGTTCTATGTTTCACAGACACAATGTTTTTTTTATCATGTAAAGCCTGCACAATGAAATGGAAAGTTTAAAGGAAATATTCAAAGATAATACCTCAACATTCAACATTGTAATATCTTGGTATCATAGTATTGGTGAATTATTACTTTTCCAAATGGAAAATCCAAACTGTACAATGCTAATACCATAAAGGGCTTTGATAACTCCACCTATAAAAATATAATATGTTTTTTACCTAACATAATTGTTGTAAAAAATTACAAAATTTCTATATTATTGCCTTCCTCTTGTGTTTCAGGTATTGCACTGTAAGATAAAGTAATTTTTCTTTAAAATAAACAAACTATAGTTAAGAAAGTTTTAAAAAGCTGGTCCAAGGTCTAGATTTCTAAATACCAACTTCTCCTGCTTCTCAATAGCATGACCATGTCAAATAATATTAGACAAAATTAAGTACGTGAAAAATCATTTAATACAACAAATGAAGATAAACATAATTGTATTTTAAAGTAGTATTTCAATGCCTGTAGTTTAAATATAATAAAGAATTCTTACTTTAAAATAATGGTTGTTATATTACTACCTATGCTGAACATTGTTTTCATTTACTAGTTTTGATCCCTGTCTTACTTTCATCGATATCATCCATATTTCAAGTGCAGAATCGCCTTTTCCTTCTCATCTTCACCTGTGCTGCAGTTGGTCAGGTAACTTGATTCTAGCCAATCACATCATCAAATACTCCTGGGCACAGTAAATGCCTCAGCATAGTCGTGTTAAACAAACTAAGCTAGTCAAAGCCAAGGATACTCAAATCTTTCTTTTTTTTTTTTTTAGTTTTGAGTAAAGGGCAAGAGAAATCATATCTTTACAATGGATTTGTTGAAAAGATCTGTCTCAATAGCTGCTGAAGGCAGAAATGGCACCATGAGAGGAACCTCCTGAACATGGAAACTACAGTCAGGAAAACAGAACAAGATGCAATTTGTTCTGTCATTGGAGAGAATGACTGTTTATGACATTATCTAAGTAGTAGACCCAGGCATACTTGAGGAAGTTTCAACCTCTATAACTTTTAATCATGAGCCAATAACAACCAACACCCTTCACTTTTCTGAAACCAATTTGCCTCATGGACACTCTCATTGGCAAACAAAAGTTTTGAATTAATCATTATGTCTTTATATTTATATTGTGTTCCTACCTATCACTTCATTCTGAAAATATCAATGTCAGATAATGAGGGCATATGTAATTTCCATTTGATAGGTGACCACTGTTGGTATGGTTTCATTAAAAATCACAATTTAATATCTATGGCAGAAAAAATTCAAATATTAGATGTATACAGTGTCTTGGTCAGCTGAAATTGTAAGAAGACTATAATAGAGACATTAGTCAACTGCTAATTGAATATGAGATGTAAAAAATATCAAGGTTTTAAGAAAAGAAAAATAATAGCTTTACGTAAATATAGAAGTCGTAAAGAATGAAAATTTTAAGGGGGCTGGAGGAATCATTAATTCATTTTTACAGATACATTGTGTAAGATTCTGGTAGGACACCTAGTTAAACAATTCCTACCAATGACTTTAAATGTTAGATTTGCATTCAGAAGAGCCTTCAGGAGAAGAATAAATATCTGTAAATCATTGTTGACAGATGAAGCTATAGAAGGGGCACCATAACTAATACATCTATAATTTTTTTAGATTTCAGGTCTTTTACCAATATAACTTCTCATAATACTACAATGATCCTGTAAGGATGGTAATATCACACCAATTAACAGATTAATAAAGGGAAGCACAGAGACTTTAAATATAATGTCCCCAATTTTTATCTAACGTGTATCAGATTTAAGATTTTAACCAACATCTCACTGAATCAGAAAAATAAATAATAACAAACCTATGTGAATGAATGAATGAATGCATGATATTATTGGGAGAGACTATTTAAATGAGAAAATAGTTTCAGAGAAGTCAGAGGAGTATGAGGGCAGACGGAGAGTAACAGGGAGAAAATGATGGCCAGTTAACAAATTCTATCTGCCTTAACACGTATCTCAGAAAAAAGAGGGTATTACTAAAGTAGCTAAACACTGGAAAAAAGATATTTAATGTAAGTAAATAACACTATTAACCAGTTTTGAAATGAGTTACTGAAAAGTAATTAAAAGAATTCAAGATCCAGTTTACAAATATATAGGCAACATATAGACTCATCTATATCTATATCTATATCTATATATAGGAGAGAGTGCAATAAAATATATTTTTTCAAAAATAATTTAATTGGCATATACTATATGTAATTTTCTTTCTATTAGACAAAAATGGCTTTGGAATGTAAAAATTAGACTATATAAAGAGCAGTTAAATTGTTTTCACTTTTATATTGAATTAGAGATGAATTATAATCATTACTTTCTGAATTGGTTAATATTTCTCTTTAATAGGGATATTAATACTATTCGTGCAATCAAATATAAATATTGCTCCATCTGAACTCAACATTATCAAATGTAACATTAAGGGACTTTCTGATTTCACAAAGAGTAGCAGGCACTTTTGTTCCAGAGAACTCTGTCTTCAGGAGCTTATTCAATAGAAACACATCAAGAAACAAACAAGTATGAAACACAGTCATCAGTGGAGGAAAACTAGCAAGGGCTTTAAGGTTGCTCCTGCCTCACTGATGAAGTGAGTGGCAAGTCAGCAACCCTTGGCAACACCGTACGTCAGCAAGTCTCCAATCTCAAGCAGACACGGCATTACTTTCACTAGACAATCATCAGTGAATTTTCCTTTTTCATTCATTTAATGCATATCCAGAAATAACCCTAGTTTATTTGATACTTCAAGTCCGTATACCTTACATTCATTACCATGAATTTAATTTTTTCTGGCCATTATAAGAAAAAAAAATCTATCATTTATTCAGTGTAAGACCACACTTAAATATAAACTAAGCTTGATATGCTTAAATAGCAAGAATAGAAAAACATTAAATAGTGTGAAGTTTTAATATAGGATAATTTTAAATAATAACTTCTACCCCTTATAAAAATGCAAACCAAATTTAGGCTAGGAAGTTTATATTAAAATATGATCACAGTTTATACCATTAAGTTCAACAATTATAAAATAAGCAATTCACGTGCATCCATGTTCACAGTTAAGGAAGCAAAGTGCTTCAGACTACTTACCCATGTCCCTAAGGTAAGGTAATGACATGACCTTGGATGACATATAGTTCAACCACATGAAATTGAAAGACATTGAAGTTATTCATGAGACTGTAGATTGATTTTTAGTATTGTACACAATTTATTTCTGTGCTAGTATTAATATGCTAGTATCAACACATTAATTATAAATCACAACTTCTGAACAATCTGATTGGTTATCTATTATTTTTACAGAGCTCTAAGAAATCAAATAAACAACTTACTGTTTGGAAGGTTCAGGAAATTTTAGTTCTTCTCTTTTCTTCATTTCTACTGTTGGCTCCATAGGAGTGAGAACTACGGCAGCACATGAGACTACAGAGTGGTATGAATCCTCCCGGCAAACTGTTTTTATTAAAAGAATCAATTGTAAGTGTCAAAATCATTTATTAACTATTCTCTTTTCCTTTTCCTTTTTTATTTTCAGTTAAATTAAAGTGATAACTCAATGGAAGCATTAATTATCATTAAATTAGCCTAATTATCATTTTCTACTCTTTTTCACTCACTAGTTGTATGATCTTAGGCAATTATTCTGTTTTGAAGTGACACAGTGAAAAGGGTATTGCAAACACCTTATAGTCCTTCATTTAAAAGAGAAAGAAAAGCTTTTCATTGAAGAATGAAAACACCAATAATACACAGTTAAATTAATCTTTGCAACATGAACACATTTGTTTAATCAGCATTAATATCAACAAACGGGGCATTACTTGCACCCTAAAAATCCTTGGGTACCCTTTCCAAATCATTACTGTAGCTTCCAAACTTAGCCATTATAATTACATATACAACCATAGATCATTTTGTCTACTTCTAACCTTTATGTAAATGACATCATGCTCTTTTGTGGGTAAACTCTTTTATGTATGGTTTATTTAATTCTGCTCATTCTTATAACTGCGCAGCTTTCTAATGAATGATACACACGTATATATGTACATATATACATGCATGTGTATGTAAATATATGTGCATATATATATGCATACATGGGGTGGGGCAAAAGCAGGTTCACATTGTGAGTACAAGAAACATAGGGTTTGTTCCTGTATTCTTTATTAATTATTATATTATTTTCCATGTGAACAACTGTGAAGCTACTTTTTCCCCACCCTGTATACACACAGGCCCACACATACTTTATTGGTGACAGACTCTTGGATTGTTTCTGGTCTGGGGCTATTTCAAAAATGCCTATAAACTTTCTTATACTTTTGGTGCATAAATAGATTTGTATTGGAAAAATACTTATGAATTGCTTCTAGGGCACGTTCATATGTTTTATGTTCAGCTTTAGTAGATAGTTCTGAATAGTTCTCTCAACTGATTGTGCTAACCTTCATTCCCCACACAGAATCAGAGGTCCAGTTGTTCTGCATCTATACCAACACTTGCTTCTTTCTGTTTGTTCTTTTTAAAATTTTAATATTGTATTAATTTTATTGCTATATACAAATTAACACTAATTTATAAGCTTAAAATAACGCCCATCTATTATCTCATAGTTCTGCCTGTTAGTCTAGGTAGGCTCAGTTGTGTTCTCTGATTAAGGTCACTCAAGGCCAGTGTCAAGCTGGCAACCAGGCTTTGTGCCTATCTAAAATCTATGGGTAAAGAATGCGCTTCTGAGATTGTTTGGATTGTTAGCAAAATTTAGTTTCTTGCAGTAGTGGGACACAGGTCTTTTGTGCCTTGCTGACCAGTGACCAACAACCACTCTGAGCTGCTAGAAGCAACCTGAAGACCAATGGCTAATTGCCTATCTGTCTCAGCAATGGAGAACATCCCTACGTTAAAGACCTCTCATGCTTCATATCTAGTTTCTCCTTTTGCTAACAGCTGGGAAAAAAATTCCTCTGCTTTTAAAGGACTCATGTGGTTAGGTTAGATTATGTCCTTTTTGATTACCTCAAAGTCAACTGATTAATAATTTGAATTATATCTGCAAAATCCTTTTTGTCATTCAACATAATTAATGTGGTACAGTCCTGTCATCTTCCAAGTGGAAATAATTATACAAGAGCTAAAGTCATGTGTCATCTTAGAATTCTGCTTATTATGGCTATTCCTGTAAGTGTAGAGTAACATCATATTGTAGCTTTAATTTATACTTTTCTGATAACTAATAAACTATATCATAAATCCTCACTTTACATGATTATGATATGCACAAACTTCAGTTACCTGGTTTAGTTAAACATGAGATACTACCCAAAATATGTTTCAAATTTCAATTAGCATGATTTATTAACTATAATTGTGTAAAGTATCAACTTCTCTACTAGCTCTTCAGTCCACTAATCAAAGCTTCTTTCAAAGCCTGTCAGTGGTTGGTTATCATGCATCTGTAACTCATTTTTGTAACTGTAACTCAGTAACGCATTGCTCCCTTGTCTTCCAGTGACAAACCCATGTGATACTTGACAACAGTGAGTGCTCCAGGGAAGGAATTTGCCAGTGGAAGTGAAAAAAGTGTAGGAAAGAAGTGAAAACTGCTGGGGCTGGAAGCAATATTTGAGTTGATTATAAATGAAAGGTCAATAATCATCGATCTAAGTATTCACTTATGAACTATGAGCTAGACAACAAAGTAACGCCCTCCCCAAGGTAATCAGAAGGGAGCACTAAACACCACAGCACACATTAACGAAAGAGGAGAGAAGAACCAATGATGCACACAAGTCAGCCAGGCCGTTCAGGGCCGTGATCCGAGAGAGGAAAATAGTATGTCCCAGGCTCTTCAATGTTCCTATAACAATATTTGCTGAATTAGTAATCTGCTCGGGGCTAGAATCTGAGGTATAATATAGATGACCATTTTAAGCAGAGGTGAATTTAAAACAATCCTGTGGTATTCAAGAGACAAAAATTAATATTTAGCATGTTTCAAGGAAGAGAGGCCCTGATTTCTTCACTGTCTCTCTAACGCTATCAAACAGATTTTTGTTATTTATTTTTTCTTAATTTAATTTTCTGCACTTATTCCTGGCATGAACTTTGAGTCTATGACAGACAATTTCACCACAGGTGGGATCTGAGAACTCTATTGTGTTTTAAATTTGCACTGTTGCCCAACCACTGCTAGTAAAGAAATAGACTAAGAACATTATTGATTTACATTTCTGAGATAACATTTGCTTATTCCATGCATATTTAATGAGTTACTGCTATGTTCCAAGTAATATGCTCAATGGTAGGATTCTGCTTGGGCAAGGAAGAAGTGCCCCTCTCTCCAGCATGTATTTAGTAAAGCTTTGTTTTTTTCTTCTAGAGATATTTCTCAAATATTAGGGCCATGGGCTTCTGACCAGTTTGGGTGAGTGCATTTAGCTAGTTCCCTACAAGGGAAAACAGAGCTGTAACTTTTTTTTTAAGAGGGAAGCAAACAGGAAAAATGCTGTAAGTGAATAAGAAAAAATAAAAAAAAGGAAACATCTGTTTATATGAGGTAATTTGAAAATTATCACTTAACTGTTATGATCTAAAGGCTGGAGTAATTGTCAATGCACTCAAAGGTATAGGCATTAAAAACCAGAACTAGGCCAATAAGAAAACAACCCCCATTAATTGGTAATTGAAAAAAGTGACAATTAATGGACATGTCTGGAGATGGATGGCGGAGACCTCCATGTAAATCATTAAGCTCTCATATTTGGCTGAAGTTAAATTACACTCAAATTTCAATATCTTTTAGTTTTATTTATCATGAGATAAAAGAATTAGTGTAATAAATGCAAGTTAGGCATATAAGTAATAGAGAATTTATAACTTCAAAAAAGTGAATGGAATAATAAAAGAGAATTACAGATTTTTTTGACTTTTTTTAAATCATTTTATTTGTTTATCTTTAGAGGGCAAGGAAAGGAGAGAGGGAGAGAAACATCAATAATGTATGGTTGCCTCTAGTGCATCCCCTGCTGGGAACTGGCCTGCAGGGAACTGGCCTGCAACCCCGGCATGTGCCCTGACTGGGAATTGAACCGCGGTTGTCTGGTTCGCAGGCCCGAGCTCAATCCACTGAGCTATACCAGCCAGGGCCAGATTTTTTTAAAATAATATTTTAGGTAGTTATAATTATAAGAACACCAAAAACAGCGAAACCTTCCGGGACCTCCAAAGTAAAAAATCTACAATTATTGGGGCAGAGTAGAAATCATTTCTAGCTTTATTTCATTTATTGTTTAAAAATGTATGTATATTTGCTATACACTCTTACATTGGCTGTATTAGTTCCATGTGTACAATATATTGATTCAACATTTTCATACCTTACAGTGTGGTCAGACCACTAAGTCTAGTAATCGCCTGTCACTGTGCAAACTTACTGCAATATCTTGACTATGTTCCCCCTTCCCTCCTCAACTCTCCCCCACCCCTTTTCTTCTGGTAAACATCCCTTTGGTCTATGAGTTTGTTTTTTTGTTTTTTGTTTGGTTTTCAGATTCCACATATAAGAGAAACCATACGGTATTTATCTTTTTTCTGCTGGACTTACTTCACTTAGCAAAATGCCTTCCTGATCCATTCATGTTGTCACAAATAGCAAGATTTCATTTCTCATTTTAAAACTGTATAGTCTTAGTCATGTCACCTTTTATTAGACCATAAATAATGTGCTATTAAATGAAACATCTCGCCATTATTACTGTACTCCATAAAATGTTTATTTCAGCCACATAAACTGAGAACTAAAACCTGTGAATATGTAAACTTTAAGTTACTCTTTATCTCTAGTTTGATATAACAAAATATATTAAGTACTAAACTTCTATATTAATTTGGTCTTTTAATTTACAAAATCAAATTTAAAGCAGTAAGAAAACAATATATTTTATTAATGCTCACAAAAATGTCAAAGATATATTAGGAGAGGCATGTTTCTCTTTCAGGCAAAGTTGAAATATTTCACACTATTGTAGGTGCCTAGAGCAAAGTTAACTTGTAAATATCGTGTATAACTATACCTGAAGTCACTACTCCAATTTACCAGAATAGTTTAATACAACAAACAAATTGTAACTTTAGGAGAAAACAATTCACTTTTTTCACTTGGAAGTGCTAACTTTTCTATGTTCCTTTTCAAATATCCAGGGTCCAAATATCTACCATATAACCCACTGGTAAAGCTTAACCCAGCGAAAGGTTAACATTTATTTAACATATGCTGAAATAAGATTATGCAGTAAGCAAAGTTCTATGTACTATCAATTTATAGTAACAATGTTGTCTTTATACCCAAGAAAATTATATGGGGTAAATACTACTGTTACACTCCTTGTACACTGCCCAAGGTCACACAACTTGGGAGTAACGAAACCTGTGTTCCCTCAATTGCCTGTAGT